ATAGAGAGAAAATTCACATTGTTTTCAAGCCAAATAAGATGAAGACAGATTTTGAGTAATGATACCATTTGCCGGTGGTGTGTATGGTGCTGGAGGAGTTGGATATGGGGCAAGTGGAACTGGCATTATAAATTAAAGCTCAAAATTCTCACTCTTTCTCTTCTTAGATTCTAGAAGACAACTGCCTCAGATACAGGGGACATCACACATTCTTTCCATACCTGGCAAGAGGAAAAGAAAAGTTAGAAAACCCAACTGGAAGAGTGTTTTAGCTTTAAATAGAGAACTATATATAATGAGCATGATACAAGAAGCAGGATTATGCAACTTGTCAGTGACAAATTTAAAGTGAATTGGAGGAAAATTGGAAGAAGAAAATCTCGGAAACTTGCATTACCAAAAACCCAAAAGCTTATTTCAACTAAATTGAAAGGTGCATATATATATGTGCCCAAAAAACCCATACCTGAAGATGCCCAGAAAGAGAAAGTGTATGCAATAAGCTATGGAATTCATTTGAATTCCTCCCAATGTAATCAAAATAGACTATATAAATCGCAGAGATTAAAGTGTGGAATTTGGAGATAGGAAACATTCATATTTCCTATGAACGAGGGTCGGGGTATGAACTTGAAATTTGTCAACGAAGTTTGAGTTAAAAATGGCATTGACTTGTAGACCAGTAATCTTAGGTTTGCACTCCTATGGCACCTTGGTAGTGTGTGTGTGAGAAAACCCCATCTCCCTTTTTTTTTTTTTTTTTCTTTTTAAATTCCCTTTCAAGATTGGTAAAAAAATATCACAAAATAAATAGGTAGTTGTTAATATATCCTAGTTGGTTGAGCTCTTCCACCTCCAACTATATGAGCAGAAATTTGACACCCCAAAACACCTAATAAATATTTGTGTAAACCTCCCATCTCAATCGCTTGTACGAATATATAAATAAATAGGTAGTTTTATATATGTAAGCATGACTTAAAAGTGTGTCATCATTTTTGTTTCTCTCCTCATTTTTTGGGTCATAATATCTCTCCTCCTTCTAGTAGTCACTTTTTTACAAATGTCACCATCCTAATAAATGAATCGATCCATAGAATCCTCCCTCCCCTTATCCCCTATTCTCTCTTCCTCATTTTGGATTTCCCCTAGCCTTGACTATGATAAGGCTCAGAATGGTGGTTTGGGTGATTGAATAGCTAAGAATTTTAGTTTGGAGTTTAATCCAAGGGCATCACATTGATTAAGATGTCTGCATCTGATGTGATACTGTTGCAAGTGTCGACAAAATTGATTATATATTGTTCTGATTTCTCTGTTGTTGTTGATAGATAACTCTTTTTCTTCTTCTTGTTTGTTGGCTATTGCTTTCTTCAAATTATGATGCCTTGCTAAGTTAAGGGTACTCACCAATGAGCATGCTACGTACCAAGACCGTTTCATGAAGCGAATTCACATTGAAATTAATCGAAGCTAGTTTGGTAATTTATTCGTTTTTGTTAATATTTTTTTTTGGAGATAGAAAGAAAACATATGGATGAAAAAGAACGAAGAAAAGGCCATGGAAAAGATGAAGGACAGATGAATGAGGATAATTATAACAAAAAAAACAACTTAAAATTGTTTGTAGCTTGTAGTTTTTATATTTTCATTTTATGTAACATTCCATACACATTTCGTCCGCCTCCCTCCCACCACCTTTCCTCCACCCATCTTCATCACTCTCACCACCCTTCCTTCACTCTCATCTTTGTTCTTTCCTTTCCAACTCAATGGAAATAAAAAAAACGGAAAAGTTACCAAACATGCCTTCAACATTATCATTTATTGGAGTTGATAATCTAACCTCATAGAATCAAATCCATTTTTTTTGGCCGCAAATGCAAACCTTATCTAATCTTTGGAGGATGGTTTTTGGAACGTTGGCCCTTCATTACTGGTTGGTTGGCCAAAGTGCCACAAGATTTAGTTCAAGGTGGATGCCAAAAACCCTTGATTGTCACTCATTAGCTTAATCAAGTAGTCAAGTAGTTTGTCTTTGATGAATAACCTAATTAGTGGCTGGTGTTAAGACACATTTCCATACATCTTTTGGTGGGTGATTTATACTGTAAACAATTTGCTTGATGTCACAGCTAAGGATAATTTTTATTTTGAAGCTTATCCTAAACCATTTGTGTTGGTAACAGTTCACAAAAGGCCAGCCAAGTTGGAGAAAACTTTGGGAATTTCCTTGGATTTCATGCCAAAATCACTAGATTAGAATCTCAATAAAGTCAAAAATTATGAGTATTTAATTCATTTTGGGATGAGGCCGAAGCTAAACCTTTTGTCTACTTTTGAGGCCACCAAGAAATTGGATTGGATGGTGGGCGTGCTCTTCGGATTTTAAAAAAATGTACCTCCAACATGTTTTTCTCATGTAAAGTTGCATGTAATGTTTGATAATTACTTTACATTATTTTAGCATTGGTAAGAAAGATCAGCTTTTTCTACTTTGCTACAAAAGTACAAAGAAAGAGGCATGAAGTGGACCTTCAATTGAAAATTGTAGTTCTAATTAACCAGTACCATAACCTTTTCAGAACAATGCTTGTGTTGGTGGTATCGGGGTGTGAGTGGTTTTGAAGCTGTAAGGCCATCTCCAACCTTTTGTTTTGTTTTGTTTTTTTATTTTTGTTTAATACTAGCTATAGTATGAATTATAAGAGGATAAAAATTTATCACACATGCAAATTATCACGGTGTCATACCCTGAGTTCATTGGTATGTAAGTCAATGCTCATTTTCACTAGCTAGACCCTATTGGCAGACCATTTCCAACCTAAAAGGTCTCAAAATGAACTCAAATACAATTATTCATCAATCCAACCTAAATGGCCGTTAGATGAGTTTAATTTTTGAAATTTGTATGGCATGTAGATTGAATCACACTCATCCAATGACAATTAGCATGGTGGTAATGCTCACCAACATTTAAGAGTGGTGCAGCAAAAATGTTCTCGACTTGATATATTGCTAAAATATGAAAACCTATGAGAGAATATTGTTTGTGGGAATTTTCTGTGTATTCTTCTTCTTGTAGGAGGTCATATTTATAATATAATAAATCCTAGTAGGTCGAGGAAAGTAATAACTCCTAATTCTATATATAGTAGGAAATCATGAATTAAAGTAAATCAATTACATTTAACATAGGAATCCTTGGTGTGTAAGGAAAGTAAATGCGAGTCCACAAGTCATGCCAACACTCCCCGTCAAGTTGGTGCATAGATGTCACCAATACCCAGCTGGTCCAGTGAATTGTGGAACGCTCTACTAGAAATTGCCTTTGTCAAAATATTCGCCAATTGATCCTCGGAATTTACTAAAGAAACTGAATCACTTTAGCTTTGAGCTTCTATTTGATATAGTGTCAATCTACCTCAACATGTTTAGTGCTATCATGTTGAACCGGATTATGTACAATAGCTATTGCAGCCTTGTTGTCACAAAAGATATTCATTGTAAATGTAGGTCCATACCCAAGTTTAGTAAGCAACCTCTTTAACCAAATGAGTTCCCAAATTCCTTTGGTCATACTCTGAACTCGGCTTTTGCATTGAATAAGGTGACCACCTTATGTTTCTTGCTCGTCCATGTAATCAAATTACCTCCCACAAATGTGAAATAACCGGATGTAGATTTCCTATCCGTTATACTTCCTGCTCAATCTGCATTAGTATAACCATCAATATTAAGATGACCATGTTTTGAGAACATAAGTCCTTTTTCGGGTGCAGACTTTAAATATTTAAGTATTTGGAGAATTGTATTCATGTGATCTTCACTTGGAGAATGCATAAAATGATTAACCACACTCATCGCATAAGCAATGTATGGTTGAGTATGTGACAAATAGTTCAATCTTCCCACTAACCTTCGGTATATTTTCTCGTTAGTTGAAACCTCCAAGATGATGATTCTGAACAATAGGAGTGTTTACAGGTTTGCAATCTAGCATTCCTGTGTCTGTCAACAAGTCCAAGACATATTTCCTTTGAGATAGAAATATGTCTTACTTTGATCGGGCCACCTCAATCCCCAAGAAATACTTGAGCCCACCTAGATTCTTCATCTCAAATTCAATAGCTAAATAGTATTGCAGCCGAGATATTTCATGTTCATCATTCCCAGTAATAATCATCTCATCAAAATAAATTATTAAACCTATTACCTTTCCTTTCTGATGTTTCAAGAACAGAGTATGATATGAATTGCTTTGCTTGAATCCATAATTCCTCATTGCCAAAGTGAATCGTCTGAACCATGCACGGTGACTATTTCAAACCATATAGTGTTTTTTCGCAACTTGCACACTATACTAGTCTAAGTAGATGTTGTATATCCCGGTGGAACATCCATGTAAACTTCTTTTGTGAGTTCACTATGCAAGAAAGCGTTTTTTTACATCAAACTGATACAGTGGCCAATCCAAGTTAGTTGCAAGAGATAGTAGCGCTCTGACTATGTTAAGCTTTGCTACAGGAGCAAAGGTTTCTTCATAATTGATGTCGTAGTTCTGTGTGTACCATTTTGCCACAAATCTAGCCTTATATTGTTCAATGGATCCATTAGTATTGTGTTTGACAGTAAACACCCATCTGCATCCAACTGTTCTTTTTCTTGGAGGTAATATCTCCAATGTTCATGTCTGATTTTTCTCCGGATCCTTCATTTTTCCTTCGTTGCTTGGGTCCACTTTGAATCTTTCAATGCTTTAGTCACCTTAGTGGGAATGGCAATAGCAGATAACTGATGCACAAATGCCTTCAATGGTTCAGGAAGTCTTTGAGGGGACATATGATTGGCAATTGGGTACTTTGACGTCTTCCCAATATCAGGAGAATATCGGTTTGGTGGTCTTCCACGTTCTGCCTAAAAAGTAATTGGTATCCAATAGAATCATTAACTAAATTCATAAGAGTTGTAGCGATATTTACCTCAAGGATATTCTCAGGAGATTGGTTGTTTGATACTGCTGAATGAGAAGGGAGTCTTCAGTGTGTTCAGGTTCGTCTTCTTTCTCAAGATCGCTACTTTAATACCATGCTAAAATATGAAAACTTATGAGAGAATATTGTTTGTGAGAATTTTCTATGTATTCTTTTCCTTGTAGAAGATCATATTTATGATACAATAAATCTTTATAGGTCAAGGAAAGTAATAACTCATAATTGTATTTCATAGTAAAAAATCATGAATTAAAGTAAATAAATTACATTTAATATAGAAATCCTTGGTATGTAAAGAAAGTATATGCAGGTCACAAAGTGCCAACATATACCTCCTAGGCTTAGTGGCAAAACCAAACTTGTGAGAATGTTCATTGTCAAAATTGAATTATTGAAGGCCTTCTCTAGAGCATTAATGGTAGGAATATCCACTTGGGATCAAGTTAGGGTGTGGAGAAAAAAGCCAACAGAAGTAGAACCATGGTGGTCCTTCCTTCTTTTGCAAACTTATCTATGGACCCCGCAATCGTTTTTTGTATTGTTCCCTCAGGCTTTTACACTGGGTGCAAGCCCATACATCATGGACTCTTCTTCACTGTTCATTTTGTCTCTCCCTCCCTCGTCCATTATCTTTTTACACTATTTTCCCTCTTATGAGGTTTTTTTTTATTTATAAAATAAAAATAAAAATATATAAATCCGCTCAAGGAAAAAAGACCCTCCTTGGCTGCCCTTCATAAATTGATTAAAAAGTGACCCCATATGTAGTAGAAGTGTAGTTACCTTTCAAAAGGGAAATGTGTTTAGTATCGGTTACAAATTTACAAAACTTGGTGTATGGTCGCTATTTTGTATTCACAGCTGGTAATATCGACAATGCATCGATCGATCACGCTCCTACTAGCAATCGTTATGTTAAAAAAGAGAAAAAAAAAGTGTACCCTCAAGTCTGAAGGATAAAAGATAGTAATTGCATCATGCTGCATGTATGTGTATGTGTAGATGTTAACTGAATATTATGTATCAGGTGAAGCAGCAGAGTTCAGATACCTAACTTTTACCATCCAAGTTCTCAACTATACCGTATATCCAAAAGCTCTCATAAATTTATAATGCTATAGATTCAGGACCACACCACCTAATAAAGGTACTTGCATTGCATTTCATGGTTAAAAAAATAAAAATAAAGGATTTTGACAGACGGCCCTGATTATTCCTTTGACTGACGTGGTTCACTGTAGGCCGTCCAATGAAGGAGAGCGTGTGGCTGAGTTGCATCCCTCACATGCATGCAATGCAGAGCCACCAAGAGAGAGAGAGAGAGAGAGAGAGAGAGAGAGAGTAGGGGCTGTGTGGTCCCCAGTTTCCTGACAAAGTTGATCTTGATACACCACCAACAGAAAATGGAAGTTAATCTCCTCCCCATTTATCTATAAGAAAAAGGAGACAATGAAAGTTTCATTGCACCTCAAAAATGAACTGAGTTGGAAGAAAACGTAACAAATTTGGTTTTGGTTTTAACACAACCTTTCTCACTCTACTTAATTTACTCCAATGTATTTCAACTCTCCTCTCTCTCTCTCTCTCTCTCTCTCTCTCTATCTCTCTCTCTCTCTCTCTGCAAGTGGCAAAGGTATGTGTTTGCTTGCCCCACGTAAGACTCTTCAACTGAATTCCATAGCTTATTGCATACACTTTCTCTTTCTGGGCATCTTCAGGTATGGCTTTTTTGGGCACACATATATATGTGCACCTTTCACTTTAGTTGAAATAAGCTTTTGGGTTTTTGGTAATGCAAGTTTCTGAGATTTTCTTCTTCCAATTTTCCTCCAATTCACTTTAAATTTGTCACTGACAAGTTGCATAATCCTGCTTCTTGTATCATGCTCATTATATATAGTTCTCTATTTGAAGCTAAAACACTCTTCCAGTTGGGTTTTCTAATTTTTCTTTTCCTCTTGCCAGGTATGGAAAGAATGTGTGATGTCCCCTGTATCTGAGGCAGTTGTCTTCTAGAATCTAAGAAGAGAAAGAGTGAAAGAGTTTTGAGCTTTAATTTATAATGCCAGTTCCACTTGCCCCATATCCAACTCCTCCAGCACCATACACACCACCGGCAAATGGTATCATTACTCAAAATCTGTCTTCATCTTATTTGGCTTGAAAACAATGTGAATTTTCTCTCTATTTT